CAGAAGTGGCATCCACTTCTTAAACAACATGCCTCTGGAAATTCTATGAACTCACAGAAATTACAATAATAGAACAGGGTTCAGGTCTTTTGTTCATAAGGTCACCCCTATGAGTCATGCATGACTAGAAGGCAATCAAAAAGAACAATATAAATTTTATAAGAGATAATGAATGGGAATGATTGTATGAAACACAATGTGAATAAAGAATAGTGTGAAACACAATGTATGTTGTAAGAATACCAATATAAAATAATTTTTTTTTAAATAAAAGTAGTTTGAGCTGCTCTGAGTACGGACCACCATAGAGCATCTTCCTTGATCTAGACACTGTAATTCTATTAACATCTGAACAGCTGTTATAAGAATTGTATTCTATTCTACATGAATAGCTGAAGGGCAAGATTCCCCCACACTATTAATTGTGCTATACACTCTTGGCACCAGCAGTCAGGAAATCAAAAAGCGTATCGCGATGGGAAAGTCTGCTGTTAGGGACCTCTCTAAAGTACTCAGGAGCAACAGTGTCTCTCTGGAGACTAAGGTGCGCCTGATACAGGCCATGGTATTTGCAATCGCTTGTTATGCATCAGAGAGTTGGACAATGACTAGGGAGGACAGAAGGAGAGTGGATGCTTTTGAGCTGTGGTGCTGGAGAAGGGTACTGAATGTACCCTGGACTGCCAGGAAAACAAACAGATATATCTTGGAGAGGATTAAATCAAGCTACTCCTTGGAGGCAAGGATTCTGGGGCTTCGTCTGACATACTTTGGACATGTTGCCAGGAGGGACGGGTCCTTGGAGAGGGACATCATGCTTGGGAGGGTTGAGGGACAATGCAGGAGGGGAAGACCCTCTATGAGATGGATTGATTCGGTGACTGGGGTAATCGGGATGGGTGTGTCAGAGGCGGTGCGGTTGGCGCAGGATAGAGCAGGGTTTAGGGCTGTTGTGCATAGGGTCGCTATGAGTAGGAAACGACTCGAGGACACATAACAACAACAACAATGCATTAAAAAATTTAAATAGAAAAAAAAATTTAAATAGAAAGCTTTATATTTGTTCTTATGAACTCTGGCGACCTCGTGGCAAGAAGCTGCTTTGCATGTAAAGGCATGCAAATAAAATTCACCAACTGCACCACAGGACAAGAATGGGCAATCTCCTTCCTTGTGATTTACTGCCTCTGAAAACCCTCTGAGGGGTCAGGTGGCACACAACAACAGCAACAATATTAGACCTTATTTATTTGCTTTAATTATGTCAGCTTAATGAAACTTTTGATTTCTTTGAATTTTACCATCCAGCATATTAAACAATCTTTTCTCCAACTATCATGATGTAGGCTATTGACCCAGTTAGAATTTATGTCTTCTTGATGTTGAGATGCAATCCATACTGAAGGCTATAATCACTGATCTTCTTCTGCCTTCATGTCCTCCTGACTTTCAGCAAGCAAAGTTGTGTCATCTACATAATGCAGGTTGTTGGTGAATTTACCTCTGCTCTTCATGCCACATTCTAAAGTCCAGCTTCTCAAATTATTTGCTCACCATACTGACTGAAATGGGAAAGGATATATCCCTGACACATACATTCTTGATTTTAAACCACGCAGTGTTCTGACATATGCTCTGTTCAGACAAAGATTTTTGGTCCAGATATAGATTTCCCATGAGCACAGTCAAGTATTCTGGGATTCTCATTCTTCTCAATGTTAGCTATAGTTTACTGGGATCTACACAGCCAAATAAATGCCTTTGAATAGTCAGTTAAACAAAACAGATAGTCTGGTTTCAGCCAAGATCCATTTGACATCAGCAATGATAACACTGGTGCCATGGCCTCTTCTAAACCCTGTCTGAACTGCTGGCAGTTTTCTATCAGTCCATTGTTCAGGTTGGTTTTGGATGATCTTTAGCAATGGATCCTATTAAATACCATCAAAGTCTGGTTTGCACTGTGCTTACATTCCATTTCTTGGTCTTGCCCATTAGGACACTAAGAAGTAAGTCTGATCACTCCCTGAAGTCAGATGAATTAATGCTTTTGTATTCATTCAATCAGTTACTCAACCATTAACAAATATTTGAATACCTAGGGTCTATTTGTTGCCTAGTTGTAAGGAGTTGCACTGTCAACCCAGAAGAATGTGGTTCAAATCCATCAGCTATTCCATAAAAGAAAAATGGGCAATTTCCTCTCATGTGATTTATAGTCTCTGCAAATCCACAGAGTTCAGCTCTGAGTCTGTTATGACTCAATGGCATATAACAACAATAACCTTGCTCTATGTTAAATACCTAGGATACAATGATGAATGAGGTGGACTGGTTGATCTCTATACTCAGGGAATTTACATGCTAGTTAACAGTAAAAACATAGATAAAAAGAGGATCAATCTAACCATTTTAATTTTTATGCTTTGTCATCTCCAATAAATATTTAATATGTCTTTTATTAAACTTGTAAGAAGCCCTGGTGGTAATGTGTAATGGATCAGGCTGCTAACAAAAAGGTCAGTAGTTCAAATCCACCAATCAGTCTTTGGAAGACACATACACATCCCTCTTCCCAAAAAGATTTATAGCCTCAGAAACCCAATGGAGGGTGGCTATGACTTGAAATTGACTCGACAGCACTAGGTTTTGTTTAATGCATAATACATAGCATGTTGCACTAACTGAAAGATTGGTAGTTAAAATCCATCAGCTTTTTTGACAAAGAATGACAGGCATTCTCCTCCTCTAGAGATTTAGAGCCTCAGAAACCTGATGGAGGATCACTAGGAGTTGGACTCAACTGAATAGCAGTGGGTTTAGTGAATTTAAAGTCTACAATTACTAGCTTTTAGACAATCACAATAAATCTGAAACCAGAAAATCTATATGGTATCCAGCTACCACTACTGACCACCGTGAAAAAGACCACAATAAAGGATCCTATGAAAAGTTGGAAATACTGTGGAACAAAACACAAACTCATAGTACTGATCTCTCAAATGCACCACTTTTCAGAAGACAGGTTCCCTACTATCACCTCTTATTTTTCTTCTCTCTTACCTGAAACCTGACAGCTATGTGCCTCAAATGCAAGAGTTGAGACATTAAGTCACATAAAGACAGTTCAGGAGCAGAAGCTCAGACAAGGACCTTTCTCCAAAACTGCTAAAGAGCAACAATGTAGGTTAAAAACTAAGGTGCACCTCATCCAGGCCATGGTCTTTGCACTTACTTGCTATGTATCAGAGAACTGGACAGTAACTAAGGATGACAGAAGAAGAATTGATGCCAATGAGTTGTGGTTCTGGAAAAGAGTACTGAACCCACAATGGAACGCCAAGACAACAAACAGGACTGTCTGTCAGGAGACAGTGAAACTAGGTTGCTCCCTGCAGGCACTGTCTACATACTTTGAGTATGTTGCAAGGAGGGATCGGTCCTTGGAGAAGGACATCATACTTGGAAGGGTGGAGGAACAGCTCAAGTGAGGAAGACCATGGATGAGAAGGACTGATGCAGTAACTGGGGGGATGGGGGTAGTTGTGTCAGACAGTGAGACTGATAGGGCAGGGCTCAGAGCTCTTGCACACAGGGTCATTATGAGTTGAAGGCAACTTAAGAACACATAAAAACAACTTACCTGAAAATTCTTTATACACTGAAAAAAAACAATAACAAAAAAACCAGGGTACATAAAATGTTAAGGTTAATCCCAAAGTCTAATACTCATGTTTTCTATAAAGTCACATGAATAAAGAAAACATACCTTGCCAGAGGGGAACGAAAAGCAGAAGCTGGGGTAGGAAAATCCATGGTTTTTATCTCCAGGACTGGTTTTCCTGGAATAAACTTTAAACTATTGGGATTTGGGGTATCTTGTGTTTGAATAAACATGTTTCTCCCTAAAAGAGAAGAGAAAACAATAATATTCTTGAAAAAACAGTTAACACATTTCAGAAGTGCTCATATTCAGAAAATCAGAGGAAAAATTATTTTAAAAAGGTTTTATTGCTCAAGGTGACAAAATACGATTTTATATATAATTTGAGTAAATTTAATAAATATAGGATAGCTGCACTGAATTTAAAAGAACATTTAGATAGTCCATTTAAGTTCATTTAACTTAGAAGTTAGTTGTTAGTCAAAGAACTCTGGCAATATCCTACACTTAAACAGGAAAGTATAACACAGTTCTAGAGTATTACAAAGTCTTTAATATGAATTGCATTTCAATATAAAGGCAACAAGAATCCTCACCACTGTACCAACATGCAATATCATGACAGTTGGAGAAAAGACTGAAGTTGTCATTAATTTCCTTTTAGTTGAACTCACAATCAATACCCACAGTAAAAGCAGTCAAGAAAGGAAAAAAAAATGTTGGATTAGGAAAATCTGATTGCAAAGACTTCTCCAAAATGCTAAAGAACAATGAGGTCAATTTAAAGACTAAAGTGTGTTTGATCCGAATCATGGTATTTTCAATTGCTTCCTATGCATCTGACAACTAAACAATGACTATGTATAACAAGAAAAAATTATGATGCTGGAGAAGAGTACTAAATACCCGACACACTGCCAAAAGAACAAATCTGTCTTGGAAGAAATGAAATCAGGATGCTCTTTAGAGGCAAGAATGGGGAAATTCGGTCTTATCTACTTTGGGCATGCTGTCTTATGGGACTGTTGTTGTTATGTGTCATCGAGTTGCCTGTGACTCATAGCAATCCTATGTACAACAGCCCTAAACCCTGCTCTATCCTGTGCCAATCTTATTGTCTCTAACAAACCTACCCCCATTACCCCAGTCACTGAATCAATCTTTCTCACCAAGAGTCTTCCTCTCTTGCACTTTCCTCCAACCTCCCAAGCATGACGTCCCTCTCCAAGGACTGGTCTCTGGAAAAGCTACTGGAGATGAGACAGGTGCAAAAGTTGAACGAGCTGATGGTTATGAGCCACCAGTTCAAGAATCTGTTTAAAATTCAGCCTTTTAATAATTACAAATAAAAATTATTATTTGTGAAAAAAAAACCAAAAAAAAAACCAACATGTAAATTATGTCAGACAAAGTTTCAGAATCCTTGCCTCCAAGGAGCAGCCTGGCTTCACCCTCCCGAGGACAAACATGTTCGTTCTCTTAGAAGTCCATTGTATATTCAATACTCTCCTCCCAACACCATAGCTCAAAGGCATCAATTTTCCTTCTATCATCCCTAGTCATTGTCCAGCTCTCTGATGCATAGCAAGTGATTGCAAAGACCATGGTGCACCTTAGTCTCCAGACTGACATCAGTGCTCTTCATTCAGTACTTTAGAGAGGTCTCTAACCACAGATTTTCCCATCGCAATATGTTTTTTAATTTCCTGGCTGCTGGTGCCAAGAGTATTGAGTGTGGAACCAAGCAAACTAAAGCTGTGAACATTCTCAATCTCTTCACCATCCATCATGACGCTGTCAATCAGCCCAGTGGTGATAATCTTTGTTTTCTTGATATTGAGCCTCAATCCATACTGAAGGCTGTAGTCCCTGACCTTCCTCAGCAATCGCTTCAGGTCCTCTTAAATTTCAGCAAGCAGGGCTGTGTCATCCACATAATGCAGACTGTTGATGATTCTTCCTCCAATTCTGATGCCACATTTCTCCTCATAGAGCCCAGCCTCCCAGTTAATCTGTTCCTTGAAAAAAAGACATGATGCAAGGTGGCTAAGGCTAAGGTGGAGGGTCAGCAAAAGAGAAGATGACCCTCAACAAGATGAACTGACATAATGATTGAAACAATGAGTTCAAGTATATCAGAAATATGGAACAGGTTAGGGCAATTCTTCTTCTGTTAACCTTATTCACTGTCCAGCTCTCAGATGTATAGCAAGTGACAGAAAAGATTATAGCTGAATCAGATGCACCTTAGTCCTCAAACTGAAATCAATGCTCCTCAATAATTTGGAGAGGTCCTCGACTGCAGACCTTTCCAGTGCAATAATATATCTCCTCATCTCCTGACTGCTGGTACCAAGGGTGCAGATTGTGGACCCAAGTAAGATGAAGCTGGTTACAGTTTCAATATTTTCTCCATTTATCATGATGTTGTCTATAAGTGATAAGAATTTTTGTTTTCTTGCCATTGAGATGCAGTCCATATTGAAGGCTATATTCTTTGATCTTGGGCAACAAGCGCCTCAAGTCCTCCTCACTTTCACCAAACAAGGCTGTGTCATCTGCATAATGCAGGTTATTGATAAGTCTTCCTAACAAATACTGCATGGTACCACTGTTGTAAAATAGGACTGACCTTGGGGGTGGGGGGGGAGACTAAGAAAGATGGATTCAATAATGTATACTGCATTGAAACAGATGAGGGAGAAAACTGTTTAAAACGAATATATGATTAGGTATTTTTGTCATGACAGGTGTCCAGAGCAAAGACTGCATAGTGGAGTGGACCTGGGGGAGGGTTTGTAAAACAATGAAAGAATTTTACTTTTACAAGAGGGTAGGATATTGGGGGGGGGGTAGAGAGGGGAGAAAAGTGCAACAATGAATGAATGAGAATCCAAAGTCTCTATAAACTTTCATTGAAATTAATAATAAAATTAACAAAAATTCAATTGTTCTATTTCCAGCTTCATTTCCATTACCAAGTCCATACTTTCCAACTACATTTCCTTCTTCATTGTTTCCAATACTCACATTCCAGTCACCAATTATCATTAACACATCTTGATTATATGTTTGGTCAATTTTGGACTGCAAGATTTGGTAAAAATTTTTAATCTCCTCTTCTCTGTCTTTAGCTATAGAAGCAAATATCTGAATAATAATAGTATTAATAGGTCTTTGTATGTGTATAGACAGAATCCTATCACTTACAACACTGTATTTCAGGACAGAATTTGAAATTGTCTTTTTAATGATAAATACAAAACTATTGTTCTTCTATTTTTCATTCTCAGTATAGTATCATGTGATTGATTCAACATGGCCAAAGCTAGTACATTTCATCTCAACTAGCACCTAGAATTTCAGTGTGTTCATGCATTCCAATTCATTTTTCACAACTTCTAATTTTCCAACATTCATGCTTTGTATATCCTATGTTCCAATTGTTAAAGGATTTTTGCAGCTATTTTTCCTCATTTTGATTATCTAGCCTTTACCTCTCATACTATAACTATACGTGTTTCTCTGTTGTTCTTGGGATTTTCAGAGGGCTGCTATTTAAGAAGTGAATGGTCAGTCTTGCTTCTTAGTCTGTCTTAATCTGGGAGCTTTACTCCACAATGAGTGACCCTTGTGGCATTTGACATATTAGTGGCAAAGCTTTCAGCATCAACGCAACCCACAAGTTACCTTAGTACAACAAACTGATAGAGAAATGCTGTACTAGTTAGAACAATAAATTTCCCTAAATCAACAAACTAACAAATTAGCGTTGTACCTCTAACAGCAAACCAGCATATGAATATCATGTTACCAGATCCAGCTGAAGCTTGCATCAATGTGGAAGGATATGGTCCTGGGAGGCTGTTGAAGTGTTCTGGCTGAAATCCACATCTAGTATGCTGGGGTAATGTCCCAGATGTACTCTTTAGAGGTAAGGATAGTGAAACTTCCTCTCACATACTCTGGCTATGTTGTCAGGAAGGGCCACTCCTTGAAAAAGACGCCTGCTATCCATTTCAGTTTTTTCTTTCTCTGTCTTTGTAATAACTTTTTGCTCTCTTCATAGATAATATCCTTGATGTCACAACTCATCTAGTTTTCGATCACTGGTATTTAATGCTTCAAATCTATTCTTAAGATGATGGAAAGATGAAAAGTCATCAAAAGACTAGACCTTCAACAAGATGGACTAATACAGTGACTGCAACAGTGGGATAAAGCATGTTAGAGATGATTAGGATAGTGGAGGATAGGGCAAGGTTCAGATTTCTTGTTCTTAGGGTTGCTATGAGTATCTAACAACAAAAAGACATTTACAAAAAAAGCTCATCTTTAATGCCCCACAAAATACCAGAAAAATTCCATTAGCTTCTGGAAGATAATTTTAAAAGTTCAAAAGTGGTTAAATTTTACCTATGGTGGACAAACTTGCAGGCAGAGAGAAAAGAGGTCTTCGTACTAAGAGATGCAGAGGCTGTTTCTTAATGGCATGTGGACTCATCTGACGGTATCTACATTTCCAAAACAGAAGTAAATGACATTGTAAGCGATCTAGTCTTTCAAAGTTTCTTTCTTACATATAAAAGACATAAGTAAAATTAAAATACTACCAGCCATGAAAACAAGTACAGAGCTTTTCATTTCTCATTCCATTTACCAGGCAAGGAACACGCACAAATAATTCATAGAGCTGAAATGGAAACTCATAGATTTGATAATTAGGTGTATAAAAGATAATAACATCAGAAATGTATCATTGTTGTTGTTGTTATGTACCTTCGAGTCACCTGTGACTCATAGCGATCCTATGTACAACTCTAAACCCAGCTCTACCCTGTGCCAATTTTATTGTCCTTGATACACCTATCCCCATTACCCCAGTCACTGAATCAATCCATCTCATCAAGGGTCTTCCTCTCTTGTGCTGTCCCTCCACCCTCCCAAGCATGACATCCCTCTCCAACGACTGGTCCCTCCCTGCAACATGTCCAAAGTATGTCAGATGAAGCACCAGAATCCTTGACTCCAAGGAGCAGCCTGGCTTCACCCTCTCTAGGACGAACCTGTTTGTTGTCCTAGCAGTCCATGGTATATTCAACACTCTTCTCCAGCACCACAGCTCAAAGGCATCAATTCTCCTTCTATCATTCCTATTCACTATCCAGCTTTCCGATGCATAGCAAGTTATCTACATTAGTAATTTATAATTTAGAGTCCCAGACTCTCTGATATACTTGGAAGCAAATAACAGTAAGGGTTTCCCCCCCCCCTTTCTCCTCTCCTTTATCTTCTTTTAAAACCGGGTAATAGACTCATATGGTTCAAAATTGAAAAGGAGCAACTGTACAGATACTGAAAAAGTCTTTTTTTTCCCGTCTCTTACCATTATGCCTTCCTCTGTGGAGAAATGTATACAATATATCTCAGGAGAAGGTAAGCAGAAACAACCTCAAAGAACCAAGACACCTATAAAGCACACAGTTGTCTGCTGACACTGGCTCCAAACTGAATTGATCATGGTAATTATAAGACTATTGCAGTAATGGACTCCCTGACACAAAACATTGCGGAAGAATGGCATTTGATCTGCTTCTGAAAGATTACAGCATTGAAAACTCAATGGAATGTTGAAAGCATCTACCCTGAATATATAGGGTGCTCATGAGTTGCACATTATCAAAATCACTGTTATTTGCTAATGTTGTTTTCACTGAAAGTAAGCCTCCTTAAGGGACAAGGTTGTCTTCATTTCTATGTTTCCAGAAGCTAAGATAATGGCCTTAGTTCCTCATCTCTAAAATAAGGTTAAATTTTTCAGCTACCTCATAAAGAATGAGATAAAAATAAACTCAGATAATCTATGTGAAGTTCTTAAAACAATGTCAGGTCACACAGTAAGTGCTCAAAAAATGTTGCCTACTATTATCATATGATTGTGTGGATAACAAATTACAGCTAACATTGAGAAGACGGGACTTCTCTGAGAACAATTAATTAATTATGCTCATGGAAAATCTATACCTACACCAAGAAACTGTTGTCTGTATAAAGCAAAAGAATACTGCATGGCTTAAAATCAAGAAAGGTGTTAGAGCTATATCTTTTATCTATATTTATTAAATCTGTATGTATACTGAGCATATCATTCAAGCAGCTAGACTTTATGAAGAAGAATATGGCATCAGGATCAGAGGAGGACTTATTAACTTGTCTAATGCAGATGACACCTTGCTTGCTGAAAATGAGAAGGGCTTGTGGCAAAAGATAAATACTACAGTCTTCAATACGGATTATATCTCGACATCAAGAAGACAAAAATCCTCACCATTGGGCCAATAGGTGACATGATGGAGAAAAGGCTGTCAATGGTTTCATCTTACTGGGATCCACGATCAACACCTAGGCACCAGTAGTCAAGAATTCCAAAGATGTACTGCATTAGGAAAGTCTGCTGTCAAGGGCCCCTCCAAAGCACTTGGGATCAAATGACGTTAGTTTAAGGACTAAATAAAGTGCACCTGATTCAAGGCATCACCTTTTTGAATACTTGCATGCATCTGAGAGCTGGAAAATTAATAAGGATGACTGAAGAATTGATGCCTTTCAGTTGAGGTGTTGGGGAAGAGTACTGAACATCCCAGACTGCCAAAAGAAAAGAGAAGTCTTGGAGAAAGTGCAGCCTGAGTGCTCCTCTGACAAGTAGAGACAAGTATGGGAAAGCTTCACCTCACATACTTTTGGCATGCTGTTAGGAGGGGCCATTCTTTGGATAGGGGTATCATGCCTGGAAAGGTGGACGGTCACAAAAGAGAGGAAGAACCTCAAAGAGATGGGACTGCAGCATAGGCTCAACTATGTCATACATGAGGATGGTACAAATTTCAGATCTGTTGTTCATAGATAGGATCACTACAAGTTGTGCTAGACTCGAAGGTACCTACTTAACAATCATTACTTTAAGAGAATTCTAGTGGCTAAGAGATAAGGAATTGTCCTGCCAATTGAAGGGTACATGGTTCAATCCACCAAAGATGGGCAATCTCCTTACATGCAATTTACTGACTTTGAAAACTCACTGGAGGGTCAGTAATGCATTGGTTCCAAATGGCTATACACAATAACAACATTATTACTATATAACAGGTGACAATTAGTTAAGGAGCTCTGGGATCGAGTGGGAAGGAATGGAGCTGTCAATCCAAAGGGACTCAGTTTGAATGCAATTGCTCCAGGGGAGAAAAATGGGCATACAATTTACAGCCTGTGAAAACTGCTGGAGAGTGTTATTAGTTCTGACTCAATAGCACAGACAAACCAAAATTAGTTAGCTCTGGTGGCACAGTGGTGGCACAGTGAGTTGTGCTGCTAATCCAAGGGTTGCACAAATCTGGCAGTTCAAATCCATGAGTAGCCCTTCAGGAAAAGATGGGCAGTTTCTTCCCAATTACCATTGTAGGGTCAATGTAAGGAAGCACCTACTCCAGGGCAGTGAGTGGGTGGACACTTACTAAATGAGTTAAGTTCAAGATTAGATGAAAATACCTTTTAAATAGCTCACTGTGTGTCTCCTATAACTACTCCACTATCTGGAAATAGTCATATAAAGTATTCTTGTACTTTCAGCTTATGGGAAAGAAACTGGATAGCAGAATACAGGAGTTGCATATTCTGACATGTTACAATTGTTAGGACTGTTGTTGTTAAGGTGATCCTATGAACAATGCACTGAAATCCTGCCCTCCCATGCCGTTCTCATCATCTCTAATATATACTTGAGCCCACTGCTGCAGGCACTGTGTCAATCTCGTTGAAGGTTTCCTCTCTTCCACTGACCCTTCACTTTTCTAAGCATGACAACGTCCTTTTCCAAAGACTGGTCCCTCCCAACAATATGCCCAAAATGTGTAGCAAAGTTTCACCATACATGCCTCCAAGGCACAACCTGGCTGCACCTTTTCCAGGACATATTTGATATTTGTTGGATCTTTTGACAGTCCATGGGATAGTCTGTACTCTTCAAAATACACACACACACACACACACACACCCCGAGAGATGAAAATGTACGTGCCTTAACTTCACCAGACTATCTTGTCCAAGATTTATGACTTTGCCTTTGACAAAATACAATTTTTTTACCTTTATTATTATTATTACTCTCTATTAGTGGAAAATATTTTCATTTTCCTTCTCTGGCAAGTTTCCATTAACAAAGGTTCTGGCTTTCACAAGTTTTACTTTATAAACAAGGAACAACAACAAAACTCTTCTGTAATCTCATTTTCAGGAGGTCAAATCCTTCCTTTGTTCCAGAAGCAAAACCAGGATCCAACACCTAAATAAATCTTGTCTTTTTCACATCTCAGTGTTGATGGAGAAACGCAAATGGAGGGCACAAGGGAAGGGAACTGAGGCTTAAGGTGCTGGGGAGGAGAGCTAGGGGTTTGTATCCTCACCCAAGTGTCATGTGGGACGCTAGGGACAGTGAGGGCATAGGACAAGGAGTCCTCTTCCATTCTGCATGACGTTGTTTTATGTTTAACGCACAGATGAAGGGAATGCACAAGGTGGAAGAGAGCTTCAGGCAGATAACGCGGGGCTTGAGGTCCCGACCTCAGGGTCTGGGACAAGTGTTGAAGGTACAGCGTTGCCTAACCGCATAGCCGCCCACCTCAGGGGAAAATCCCCAAGAACGCTCCACCCGCTTGAAGCAGGGCGGTGATCACGCCACTGGCTAAGGCTGGTGGTACCCCTACACGAAGACTCAGAGACTTTCACCTACCGCCTATGCAGCCCCAGGGCAGAAACCACAGCTCCCCAGGAGCGAGGGTGGGACGCCGCCATCTTGGACCGAGATTGCCAGACGTGGCCCCGCCCCCTGTCAAGGGGCGGAGCTATAAAGCTCCGGACCGCGCAGGCGCAAATTGGCCACGCTCGAAGGCTGGTATTTGTTTTTCGTAAACTATTTACTTTATACTGGTTTACTTACAAAGTTCGTATACATTGTTTTTTCACACCGATTTTTTTTTCCATTTTCTTTACCCTACCTCCACCCACCAGATTGTACGATGAAAGGTGGTTTCTAACCAGTGCTGAGATTCTGTAAAAGAATTGGGATGGGCCCGCAAGGTAAAGCTTGCTGTCTTTGCCTATCTTCTATTCAGAAGACCCATCCTGAGATGCTTACTAATGCGACCTCATTAAAGCACGCAAGACTCCACGAATATGCACGGAATCGTCCATCTCCTTATTGGCTGTGTGGGCGCTGCATTTGCACAGGTCCAGCTAAGAGAATGCTGTTTCTCATTCCTAAGTCCTCAAACATAATAAAAGGAAGGTCTGGCAGCTTTGGGCTACCAGGTTAAAGGCATGCGATTCGAAGCCACCAGCTGCCCGGTGGGAAAAGGGTAGGCAAGCTCTGAAAACAGATTATGACCGTGAGGTTCCGTCTCCATATCAACAACTATAATAGAAGTACCACCAATGGATCTT